GCTGGCTAGATAATTGGCTTAATAGTCACCCAAAATTATACAGGTAGTCCCCAACTTATGACAGGATTCAGTTCTGACATAAGTTGAATACCTCTTTTTTTTTTTTTTTTTTTTTTTAGTTTTCATTATTACTGCCTTTTATTATCGGTATCTTTATAAATCTGATCTTTATTTGTCTTTGGGGGTTGGAAACATTACATATAAGCTTACAGATATGATGACATCAGCAGATTACATGCTGCAACATTGTATGTAGTACATATTACTAATGTTAAGAATTACAAAAAAAGAAAGGACGGTTGTAAGTGCGATTTATTGTAACTTGAATACGTTGTAAATCAGGGACTACCTATGCAAGTGCTCTGCTGCTTTCCCTTCATTTTTTGGTCACTTGTTAAACGAATGTTTATTGAGCACCTACAATGCATAGCGTCCTGCTCCAGGCTCAGGAAATGTAGCCCTGAGCAAAACAGACTCACCCTTGTGAAGCGTACATTCTAGTGGGGAGCCAGACAGCGAACAAATAACTAAATTTTGTTTTGTTAATTTTGCAAAAATTTGGCTTAAAAAACTCTTCGTTCCTCTGAAAAAAAGAGAACAGGTAGGAGGTGAGAAGTGCAAGGAGGAAGAATAAAGCAGAGTAGACAGAGGGTGTTTTTGGATGGGACCTCTCAGAGGAGATGACACTTGAGCAGAGACCTCAGTGAATGAGGCAGTGACCCATGTGGATATGTGAGGGAAGAACATTCTGGAACAAAGGACCAGCAAGTGCGTAGGGATGACAGCAAGAGGAGGCAAGATGGCAGGTGATAGACGAGATAGCCAAGTGCTCTCCAGGCTAAGGCAAAGCTTTGGGAATTTTTTCTGAGTGAGATGGTAAGCCACTGGAGTATTTCGAGCAGAGGAGTGATACTATCTGACTTGCCTTTTAAAAAGCTCACTCTGTTGCTGTATTGAGGAAAGGCTGTGGGGGTGGGGGGCAAGTATGGAAGCAGGCAGAGCAGTTAGGAGACTAGAGTGGTAGCATTAGTTGTTGTTGTTGTTGTTGTTAGGTGCTATCAAGTCGGTTCCGACTCATAGCGACCCTATGTCCAACAGAACAAAACACTGCCCGGTCCTGTGCCATCCTCACACAATCATTGTTATGTTTATGCTCATTGTTGCAGCCACTGTGTCAGTGCATCTCATTGAGGGTCTTCCTCTTTTTTGCTGACCCTCTACCTTACCACGCATGATGTCCTTCTGCGGGGACTGATCCCTCCAGACAACATGTCTGAAGTATGTGAGATGTAGTCTCGCCGTCCTTGCTTGTAAGGAACATTCTGGTTGTACTTGTTCCAAGACAGATGTATTCATTCTTTTAGCAGTCCATGGTATATTCAGTATTTTTCTCCAACACCACAATTCAAATGCGTCAATTCTTCTTGGGTCTTCCTTATTCAGCATCCAGCTTTCACGAGCATAGGAGGCATAGGTAATATTAGAAGTGGTACGAAATGATCAGACTTGGAGCATTTTGAAGGCTGACATGACAGGATTTGGTAACAGATTGGATGTGGGATATGAGGAAAACAGTCATATGATTCCAACAGTTTTGACTTCAGCCATTGATGAATAGAGTTACCACCTACTGAAACGGGAAAGTTATTAGGGAAGGAGCAGATTTAGGGGAGAAATTAAGTATTTTTTAGACATAAGTTTGAGATGCTGATCATATTTCCAAATAGGTATGTTGACGAGGTAGTTGTAAATGCAAGTCTAGGATTCAGGAGAGGGGATGAGACTGAAGTTGTGTCTGCAAGGGGAAAAAAAAAAACAAACACTAATCACATTTCTTTCTTTTTTTTTTTTTAAGTAAATAACATTGATTGATTCATTTTCTGATTATGAAAATAATCAAATTCTGAAAAGTCATCTGTGAGCCACCACCCTTGAAAACTGCAGTTAACATTTGGTATATTTCCCTCCAGCCTTTTTACTTCCCCCTTTCTTTCTGGTGTTTTAACTAAATTGAGATTATGATGCATTGTGTGCATTTTGTTTTGTTTTCGCTATACATTTAAAGTCCTGAGTATTTTTTGATGCCATGAAATGCTGGAATGCTTTTTCTTAACAACTATTAGTGTTGTATTCCACGGAATGGGTGAAAGTTAATATATTAAACTAATCCTCCATTAGAATTTGGGGGGAGGGTCTATGAGAAGTGTTGCTGCAATAATTATCTTCATGCACATCTCTAATTATTTTTCTAAAAGTGGAATTACTCTGTCAAAAAGCAAAGTGTAAAGCTCTAAATACTTTTTTTTTAAATCAGTTCACCCTCCTGAAAAGTTTAAAATTAAATATCCACCGTAGTGCATGGGAAGACCTACTTTATTATATTTTATCAATTCTGGATATTATAATAAAATAGAATTTTTTCATTTGGTGGCTAAAAAAGCATTATTCTAATCTTAATTTGTATTTCTTACTCTGTTTTCATTATCTCTGTATTTTACAATTTATTTGTTCACACTCTTGGCCATTTTCTATTGTTTATCTTTTTTACTCTTTACATAATAAGAACATTAACTCTGTATATATTGCAAACATTTATTCCCAGTTTTCTAGTACGTTAATTCTATTTGTTTTTTATTTTAACATGGTAGAATTTTAAAACTTGTATGTAGTAAATTATAAGTTTTCCTTTTATGCTTTTTTTTTACATTTAGAAAGTCCTTACCTATCTCAACATCTTTTTAATATATGTGGAATTTATTCGGATATATGAGATGGGAAAATTGCTTCATTTTTTGCATTTGTGGTAGCAATATTGGTTTTTAATGATCCAAGATTTTCCCCACTGATAGAAGTGCCATCTTTATAATATGCTGTATGTTTACATATACAGACAGTTCCCAGGTTATGAATGTCCAACTTACAGTCAACTCCTGCTTAAGAATGGACTCACATATGTTAAAAAACTGAGTTAAATACAGTGATCTTAATAACGAATGCACGCGCCAATTTGGGGCACTCATGAAAACATTGCATGATTTGGAAGTGTTTCTTAAGTGTTCTATATGCATAGAAAGGTAAAATATATACTATATACTAAAACAAACATTTGAGTAACTGACTCTAAATAAGAACCGTATGTACCTGTTTCAGCTTACTTACAAATTTGACTTAAAGACAGACTTAGGAATGCATCTTGTTCGCAACCTGGGGACTGCCTGTACTGATATTTTGGTTTTCCTTTTCGCTATTGTGAATGGGATTTTTTTTTCTTTTATTTTTCCAGCCAATTATTGCTGATACACAAATAAGCTATGAATTCTTTTTAACCAGTCATTGTACACAGTTCTCATAACATTTCTAGTTTTTCAGATGGTTCTCTTGGATTTTCTGGGTGGAAAATTTTATACGCAAAGGTGACAAATTTGTTTCTTCTAATATTTGCACAAAGGAGCCCTGGTAGCTCAACGATTAAGTGCTTGGGTGCTAACCAAAAGGTTGGCAGTTCAAACCTACCCAGCAGCTCTGTGGGAGAAAGACCTGGTGATCTGCCCCCATAAAGATTACAGCCTAGAAAACCCTACGGGGCAGTTCTACTCTGTCACATGAGGTCGCTATGAGTCAGAATCAACTCGACAGCACCTAACAACAATAACGATCATTGTACAACTCTAATTGCATTGTCCTGAGCCTCCAACACAGTATTAAATGGTAATAGTGATAGCAGGTATCCTTCTCTTGTTTCTCATTTAACAGTGATGTGTTTTCTCTTCTTAGATGTCTCTACCTTAGTTAGAAGATGCCCCAATCTTGTCCACCTAGACTTAAGGTATGATTCTGTTTATTTTAGATCAAAAGTTGAAAAAGCATAACTGCTCATTGAGTGGGAAAAGAATCTTAATGTTGAATTAAAGGAACTAAGCTGTAGATTATTTCTGTCCTCTCCACTCTAGGATTGATGGATGGGTTTTGAACTTCTTTTCTTCTGCTCTGTTTTAGTGACAGTGTCATGCTAAAGAATGACTGCTTTCAGGAATTTTACCAGCTCAACTACCTCCAACACCTATCACTCAGTCGATGCTATGACATAATACCTGAAACTTTACTGTAAGTATTTTTTGTTTTTAAAGCTAGTTGGGGGCAAGGACCAAAAGAGATGCCATAGGTGTTAATATTCATTATTATTAGTAGACATTTAAAACTTAAACATCAATATCAGTATACCACAAACTGATTAGGAAAGAACAGCAAGTAGATAAACCAAGGCAGAATTTTTTGTTTAAACTGTCTTGTCGAGTTGCTCAGGATAGTTCAGTAGCCATTGACTATTTAGCCGTGAGTAGGCTTCAGTATTAGAAAACTGGACTGGTAACTGTGGAGAGCTTGCCAAAGAAGCAGAAGACAGCCTTTGCCTCCCAGAAGCTCAAGAGTATAATTGGGAAAGCAAATCCAAGTGTTTTTTGTGGTTGTTTTTTCAACTCCAGTTGATTCCAAATGCCTTTTGCTATAAACCTGTATCTGGACTCAGAGGAAAAGTTCTATAACCTTCTAATGATATCTGTCCCAGATGGTCAAGGAGTGAAAAGAATGGGAGCATGTGATGATATGTATCCTAAGAATCCAGTGCTCCCTTTGAACAAGTAGAGATTGAGGTCCAAATAAATGAAATAACTTATCCAAAGCTGCATAATGACTTAATGGCTGAGTTGAGTCTAGAGCCTAGGTTTTCTGGACAGGTGCAAAATAGTCTGTATCTAAGCTGGTGGCCCATATGAGGGCTAATTTTTTACTGCCTCAGCGACTTCTACAAAATAATGGGAGTGTAAAGAAAAGATAGAATCCTGTCCCTCTTTCTTTTATGATGCACTGTACTCAAGACGGAGCCCTGGTGGCACAGTGGTTAAGAGTTTGGCTGCTAACCAAAAGGTCAACAGTTTGAATCCACCAGCTGCTCCTTGGAAACCCTATCAGGCAGTTCTAGTCTGTTCTATAGGGTCACTATGAGTCAGAATTGACTTGATGGCAGTGGGTTTCGGTTTTTGGTTTGATACTCAAGTCATCCTGGAAATAATATCATCTCTATTCTTAGAAAGATTTCTTGTAGTTATAACCCAAAGGCTGAAAAATTCTTCCTAAATGTCAAATGTAAATAACAATTTTGTTGAAAACCAAGAGAAATCAGTATCTTAGATTTGGTCAGGTGTACTTCTTCCTTATTACAACTGTCTTAGTTTCCTGGTGCTGCAACAGAAATGCCGTAAGTGGGTGACTTTAAAGAACAGAAGTTTATTTCCTCATAGTTGTGGCAGCTAGAAGTACACATTAGAGGTCTGGCTGTGTGGATTCCTTCCTTGTCAATAGCCCTGGGCGTTCCTTGGCTCCTTGGTGATCTTCACATGGCATCTGTCTTTCCCAGTATTTGCCATCGTCTGTGTATAATCTGCCCTTTTTATAACTCAGAAGTGATTAGGTTTAGGACACATCTTGTAATGATAATGACCTCGTTAATAAAAAAATAAAACACTATTTCTAAACAGGATTACATCCATGTGTATAGGGGTTAGGATTCCAACACATATTTTGGGAGTACACAATTTAATCCATAACAACAGCCAATGAGGCTATTGAAATTGTTTAACTCACTATCCAAACAAAGGTAATTTAGCTTCTGGTTCCTATCTAAAAAAGGTGGTGGATTTTAAGAAAGAATTCATTTAGTCTTCAAATTATTGATTTGACTCTTGTAAGTTAATTTCAAGAATGAATGAATAAATCAGATGAATCAGCTGCACAAGGGTAACTGGTAGAATTAGGAAATCCAAGAATTACATTTTTTATTAATCAATTTAATTAATCGTGGCTTAAAGAAAAGAAACCGTCATCGAGTCAGTTCTGAGTCATAGTGACCCTATAGGACAGAGCAGAACTGCCCCATAGGGTTTCCAAGTCTGTAATCTTTACGGAAGCAGACACATCTTTCTCCCACGGAGCAGCTGGTGGGTGTGAACCACCAACCTTTCAGTTAGCAGCTGAGCACTTAACCACTGTGCCACCATGGCTCCTTAAATTTGACTCAGGGCCTGAGTTTGTCATTTGAAAAAGCACTACCTGAAAGGGATGCCAGTGCTTACTTCTTTTGCTCTCAAATGTTGGGGTCTGAGTTCATACACATGGAGCTCTTATGAAAACTGCCCCCCACCCCCTCATTCCCTAGCATCGAGAACTCTAAGGAACCTCTAACTTCTACCAAAAAGATTTTTCTGTCATCCGTTCATTCCCATCCTTGTCATTTGGGCTTCTCCTTCCTTGCTTGTGCAGCCCCCTGGGGAGTGCAGTGACAATTCTTTTCTGGTCACTTTTATTAAGAAAATCCATCCATGTACCTTGCTTTTGTTCTTTCACTCCAGTGAGAAGGAAGCTAAGCCAATAATATCCAAATGCTTTTTCTCAATCAGAAGCTAGGAGAAGGCTGGTAGCCATCAGATTTGCATGTTATTACCCAGTGAGATAATAATGCTTACACAGTAATAACTGCAAGCAGTGTAGTATGATGGTTAAGACCTGGGACTGGCCAAGCTGTGAGCCCTAACTCCATTATTATTACTTATTTGTCTAAATATTATCTTGAAATAAGAGAAATAGGGGTATTAGGAATTAGTTACAAGTCTTACCACCAGATGAGAGGGAGAACAAGAAGAAAGACACTGTCCTTGAACTTTAAGATAAAAGAGTACATTTCTTTAGGTATTATGTAAACAGTACACTGATTTACCTTCTGAACCTTTTAAAATGAGTTTGCTGCTTACCTAACCTTAAAAGTTTCTCAAGATGAAATTTCTTTCTCCCTAATTTCTGTCATTCTAGCAGCTTTTATTTTTGAAATTCACAAATAAAAATATCTCAGAAGTGGGGAAACAAGATTTGTATCTTTTTTCTGTAATAATAATGCTTTAAATACTTCAGACACTGTACCTTTTTTCCCTTATGGCCTATTCCTATTGTACAGATATTTCCTTACCCCATAATTGGTCTAGTGCTGAGTCCAAACTTTCTTCTAATTATTCTATATTTCTCATTCAAGTAAGAAATCCACGCTGGAGATAGTAAATCTATCTGAGATCAGGAGAAACTAAAAACTTATGTGGTAGGAGAGTTTATAGTTGAGGAATTTAAGATTTTATAAGGAAAACAAGATTAT